CTCTTTCCTTGTTAGGATTTTTCCCCTGAAGCCACATGGATATTGTTGCAGGGAACTTTTGTCTTCACACAAAAGAAAATTAACAAAGATATGAGTTGGCATTCTTCTGTCACTGTAATAAAAGCAAGTGCTCCTTACCATTTACAAAATACAGAGAAAAAGCTGCTAGTGGTCTGCTACCAATTTCCAGACTCACAACCTTGTTAGTCTCCTCAGCTTGGCAAGACAATCACCAGACATTGAAAGCACTATGGTGAAAAAGCAGCTCCCAAAAGCTGACCCTTCTACATGCCCTTAATACTTGGCATTTACTTACAATCTGCTTTTACTTTCTTAAGACTGTATGTGATCATGCATCCCGTGGTGCCATAGCCTGTTGACTAGCCATTCAGTCTTCAAAATCTATGTGAGGTTTAGATCAGCAGCATTACCATGATTACTTTATTATTCCAACTTAGCCTTGCAGGTAGCTGAGCAAAATGCTAGATACTAAAGTAAACTTTGGGCAGTCTCCACCTTCCAGCCTAATAAGCTATCATATCAATATACTGTATTCCCCAGTCAATGCAAAACCACTATAGACTCCTCTGAGTAAAAGTCTAGCTCCTCCATTGATCATTATACACATAATTCAATCATTTATATAAAACAGCAAAGCCCTTAATTAGCAAAACCTCCCAGGGGCTTTGTTTCTCATGACTTGCATTAATGCATTATTAGAAACCTTAATATTGTCAACATTCCTCTAAGATTTAGAGGGTAAAATTAGTTTTTGAAACTCCTTGTCATAGTAAATTATTAAAGGATTCTGATTAAAAGGTTTTACAAAAAATAGTATTAGACTTCTACAAATGAGAACTGCCCTGCATCTATCTTTGTGCTATTTAGAAAGAAAATGAAACAGGCATTTAGCCTCCTGCCTTTTTTATTTGCAGAATTCAGGTTGAAATATTTTCATGATTTGGTATTGTTCACTTTAGTAAAAAACATGTGAATATGGAAGAAGCAAAGTGGCTACCCTTGACTCACATAAACAAATAGCTCATTGGGGAATTATCCAGTTGATGCAAATAACTTTTAAATTTGATTGCTTCACATGAGGTTTCAAAATTTCTTATAAATCCCTTATGGAGTTGTATATTTTGTATTTGAGGGGAAAGGGCCTGTTTGTGTGGTTTTGGGGGGAAGTCGTGTATGGAGAAGAAGATCCAAAATTGGAAAGATATTTCAGGTTTTTTGTAACTCACTGTCTGACAAATGCCGGTGACTGTAAAATTAAAATGATCCACAAATTTAATCTTTACTCAGGAAAACTTCTTGTGTGCTTCTGGGAACACTGAATGCTCTGGAATAGCACCACTGACTCTGCAAGTGCTACAACTCTCATCTTCTTCCTTTGGGAATGTAATCCATGGACTAAAATATAGAGGGCTACTACAGTTTGAACCACTGTGTGAACTCATAAGATTTCTGTGAAATCAACATAAAGTTACAGGCTGCTGGAAGGAAAGTGGAATGGAAAGCACTTGAGATTAAGACTTTCTAAAAGGCAGATGAATAGTGGCAGAGAGGCTGCTGTCAGTAGTTCAATTAGTGTCTAAAGGTGATAAAGGAAAGTTTCAGCAATAACTTTCACAATTTTCAAAATTTGGGGTACATTTTTACCTCTGTACTGTACCAGAAACTAAGAAGATGAATTCTCCACAATTGCATTTGAGGGCAATATTGAATATCAGACAAAAAAGCAATTAGGATTAATTACTTGGTAGGGCTGTACCTATCACCACAGTAGCTGTCCAGTGAGCTATAGAGTTAACAACCCCATGATTCTTTGTTTTGGGAGGCAATTCCAGTCTTCCATGCATACATATTTGTGAAATTTGGAACAGATGTTTTACAATGTTCAATACCTTTTAACAGAGAAAGAGACAAGTATATGAATCAAACCTGATAAACAACGGCTTGCAACTCGAAGCGACAAGGTCGGTGAGTGCTCTTCTCTGTGTAAACAGCTGTGTCTGAGGGCAAAGCTGCCCCTGTGGGAATAAGGAAGCTGGATATATGAATTGTCTGTAACATTTTTCTCCTCTCTGGAGAAAAAGGCCCACCTTTCTTCTATCAGTGCTTTGTGATCTTTGTGATCCGATCTGTCCAATCTACCAGATCTTTGTGATCCGATGCGAAATTTTTTGAAACTTTGTGTCTGTTCCTTCCTCTGCAAAATAAAAGGCAGGAAGCTGGGAGATGGCATCGGGAAGCTGGGAGATTACTTAGGTCATGTTTGCTCAGTGCATGTAAATTGCTGTCTGTACCCTGCAGAGAGATTCTTCCCCTACTCTGGCTATGGAGTATGTGTGGAAAGCTACAGTGTCCAGGGCACAACGCCCCTGCCAGAAGAGCAGTGCAGGGCTCCTGCACATGACCCTGCTCCTTGCAAGGCCGGGCAGTTTGCAAGTGGTTCTAACTATCATGCTTTGTGTATTTTGGTCAGTGATGATGCCTTCAGGCAGTTTGAGAGCACTGTGATAATGCACACCAGCTGTCAGAGCTGCTGTGTCTTGCAAGGAGGGTTAGAGTCCCTCTAAGTCCCTTCTCTTCCTTCCTCCCCTGCAGGGCTGCAGCACTTCATCTGTGTCTCCCTGTCTGGGACGATCACTTCCAGTCTAAATTGGTTGTTGTTTCATAGTGAGTCCCAGAAAGGGTCACTTTACCCCTTCCTCCCTCAAAATCCATGGCATCACAGTATCTGATTCCTGCAGAGAGGGCTCCTGCTGCATGTCCAAGGATGCAGTCTGGCTCTTCACATTCATAAGAAAGTAAATGCTTGCTGGAAGGTTGCTGCAGCCCTCATGCTATACTTACATATTGCAGTTTTCAATAATCCTGGCTTGACTGTAACTGAAAAACATTCGAAAGTGGAAATTTCCCCAGGCTAGATCAGATATCTGACTGGTGTTCCTGAGCCAATGAGCTATGTAATGTAATTTCATGTAACTAACTAATGCAGGGCAGGGATGGTCTACAGGCCGTGTGTAGACAGGAGGCAAGAATGGCTATTAGGGTACCTGTGTACTGGTGCTAGTTTCAGCATGCCACTGAGAGAAAACGTGCCCCATGCTGTCTTTTTCAGCAGTCTTGTTTGATTTTCCTTTCCTCCTCCCAATTCTCCCCATGAAGCTTGGAATTCTTGTTGCCCAGGAGCACCCATGTGTGCCTAACCTGCTTCCATTGAGTCACATCACTCTGGGGTTGTACTTCAGCTTCTGGAGAGTCACTGACAGCTCCAGAGGCACAGTTGCCCTGTCAGGCTACAAGTGCAAAACACTCTTAATTGCCCCATATGAGAGAAGTGTTGTTAAACTTAAATTGCTTTGTAAAATACTTTGCAGAGATGTAAACATTAAGAGAACATTTTCTCTTGTTTTTATATACCTTTATATGCCTGAGTGTTTTCACCCTATGTCAGTGCTTTTACAGAAGCTAATGATATATTTGCTAAGATGGACAACTAATGCAGCTTTGAGTAGGATGACTATGAGCTGTGAAGGGAAAGAAAATTGTGAATAGTTCAAGAAGTGCTATGGAAAGTTCTTTGCTTTCATTTTCTTACACATGTATTTTCAATATTTCAGGTTTTGGATGAGAAACTTATTTTTGTGAAAGTGCATGCACCTTGGGAAGTGCTGTGCACATACGCTGAGGTTATGCACATCAAATTGCCTCTGCAACACAATGACCTGAAAACCCGAGACTCAGCTTTCAACTGGTTTAGTAGACTCTTCAGAGTGGATGAAAATATCATCAAACCTGAGCAAGAGTTTTTCACTGCCCCTTTTCAAAAGGAACATTTGTCCAGCTTTTATATCCATGACAAAGACACATTTTTCAATCCTGCAACTAGAAGCCGAATTGTAAGTCCATGGAGTATTTCTAGTATTTGCTCTTAAAAAGAAACTGTTCCTTTAATCAAATCAGTTTAATTACCTTCATTAAAAGATCCTGAAAAATTAAAAAATTTTCTGACACAATAGTCCTGTGAAATTTATGAATTAGCCTGGACAATCCAAAAGGGAAATATTCCTTACATTTGTCCCATTTCTCTTCCCTCTGAATTTAAAGGAGGGATTTGAATGGTTTGCATACCCTGTGCAATTAATTTTGTCTGCACTGCTTACCCTTTCCTAACTTGATTATATGCTGAGACAGGCATAGCTGTGTATGATTACTTTCAGGTTCCGAGAGACAGAAAAGTCTTTTATAAATTTCAGGTTCATTTTATCTTGTCCCGTGTGGAATATGGAAACAAAAACAATGTGAAAAAGTTTGGCATTAACAAACTACTGGACTCTGGAAGCTACAAAGCAGCATTTCCTCTTCATGATGTAAGTCCAGTGCTTGTAACAAAAATACAGTTCAAAACAGAGGTCTGAACTCTATTTGAGGCGTTTATATAAAAAGTTACAAACACTATTGATTGTCTTATTCTTTGACTGGTTATTATATTAAATTAAAAGTAGTATATAGATTTCTACAAATATCACTCGTTGTATCACAAGACATAAAATGGAAAATTCTCTCAAATAAAATTGGTTTTATTGAAATGGCTTTTTAAATAGCCTAGTAAAAACCACAAGGATTATCTCCATGTGAACTCTCTTTTAAATTTAAAACAGAAACTAGAGGCCCTGGATTTATCCCTCAGACTTTCCAGCCTGCATTCTAGAACAGTATTATTTTGAAGCAAAGCATGTTAGCATGTTAAAGCTACCTAAAATCCATTATAATTCAGTCCTGTTCTCTAATTAGAATGGATCCTTTTTTATTTTCTATTTCTAAGTGCCAAGATGCTGACATGTGCTTAGATTTAAGTTCATGATGAGCCTCTGTTATTTTCAGCTCACATATGTACAGTGCTCACTTTAGCATTAGGTGCCTTTCTGACAACCTTCTATCCTGAATCCTGGTGTGCTCTCAGAGCTGTCTTCCTGCTCCTTTTCCTGGCTTGCAGTGAGACTGGTCTGAAGGGCTATTCCAGACTCTGGCTTCATGACATAGGGATCATCTGTAGAGAGGAGAGCTGAGCTGCACTGGTTGGTGGCATAGGAATTATCTGTAGAGATGAGAGCTGAGCTGTGTTGGTTAGATTAGTGGTATTTTCTTCTCATGCTCTTTCTGTTTTGCAGTCTGGTTTTAGGCACCCGTCAACTGATTCCAACTGCCCAAGCGAACGATATCTTCTCTACAGAGAATGGGCTCATCCTAAAAACATTTTCAAACTGCAACCCCTGGATTTCATCAGGTTGGTGAGACTGGGGCCAGACTAATGCAGGAGGAACTAGGAATTTACGTAACAGGTCTGTTTTTGGCAATGTCAAAGAGACACATCTCAGTTCTGAGGGCAGATGCATACACTTGCATCAGGTCATGCATAGGAGCATACTTTGAGCTTGATTTCATGATAAGCCAATTCATGAGCTTGATTTCATGATAAGCCAATTCATGAAAGGGCACCCACTAAAAATTTTTTTTTGTGAGGTATGATCTTTCTCTCTGTTTCCTTCTTTTTCACCATTTCTATCCTCTTACAAAAGCAAAATACCCAATCACGATACTTCTGGCAATCCCAAAATTCAAACCAGAGGAATATGACAATATGGGTTGGCACAAAATGTATGAAATGAAGAGCCATTTGAAACAGAAATGTGAATTTACTTACATTTCAGAAAAAAACCCACGAAGAGCCATTTGAAACAGAAATGTGAACTTACTTACATTTCATTAAAAAAAAACATCTTTTCTCCTCCACAGGAAATATTATGGAGAGAAAATTGGGATCTACTTTGCTTGGCTGGGCTTTTACACCAATATGTTGACCGTGGCCGCAGTTGTAGGAGTTGGCTGTTTTCTGTATGGATGCCTGACAAAGGACAACTGCACATGGAGGTACCTGGTCAGGCCTGTTTTAGTATCATGCACAATTTTGATCAGTCTCATACAGAGGGGGACTGATTGTACAGTATTTGCAAGACACTGAATAATAAAAGAGGCAAAATTAAAGGGCCTGAGAACAACTACCATTGTGGATTTGAAGGTAAAGGCATAAAATATGATATAAGAAGAGTAACAGATGTCCGTGGACTATTACAGTGATAGACATCTGAGAGTTTGTTATTTCATCATTTTATTTATATTTTTCACTAGATTCAGCACACCTGGTGTAGAAACAAAAAAAAAAAAAGAGTGACAATCAGAAATGAATACAAATTGCCATAACATGTAATTTTCACTGTGGCAATCCCTACAGGAGACATATGAAGACCTTGATAATTTCATTCCTCTATTTTGGGAGAATAGAGGAACAGCAACAGCACAGAGGTGCTGTTGCTCAGGATACATTGAGAGGCAAAGCATAGCCATGACACAGATTCTCTCATCAAAACACAACAAAATTCAACCATGGCAAAATGAGCCTGTGTCACTGTGCTCAATGGTCTGCAGGCCATCACACTGTATACCCTGTGCTGGCAGAGTGTCCATAATACATGCTGAAGGGCTGCTCCAGAGCTCTACTCCTCTGGCAAATTTATACCCATTTAGCCTTTTGCCAGTATTATAAATTGGTTGAACAACTCATCTCCCTCCCTGGTGTTTACTCCCCGACGTATGTATAGAAAATAATTGTTACCTTTCAGCCTCCACTGTAGGTTAGTATGTACTAGTTAGATGGCAACTTTTTTCCCATCTCTTAGGAGACAGATCTGTAATTCCTTGAATGATCCTGGCAGCTCCCCTCTGCACAATTTCCAATGTGATCCTCTTTAGAAGAGCACAGGGACTAGGTAGCCCTTTTGTCTCTGCAGTTATTCCTTGCTCTGGTAGGCAGTGTTCCTCTTTCTTCTCTCCTCAAACTCTCTATGATAGCATATGTGGTTTTCCTATTCAGGAGTGTGAGATCTTTGAAGAGCTGTTATATTTTCAATGTGGGCAGTTTTGAGAGTTACCACCACATATAAGGGATGGAAATTATTTTCCTTCTATGTCATCTCTTTTTGAGATTAGGACTAAGAATGGAAATGGGGATGTGTTGCCAGGGTGGAGGGGAGTTGGGGTGGAATGCTTGAGAGTAGATCGCTGCTAAATTCTTAATTCCCTGAGATTATTGCACTGTCCTTGTGTGCACAAAAGGCCTAAAGAATTTAGTGTTGGTGAGTGACTGACTAGTTTTTTTTTTAGCCAAGAAGTATGTGATCCCAACGTAGGAGGTAAAATCATAATGTGCCCTCAGTGTGATAAAGTATGTACCTACTGGAACCTCACCATCACTTGTGAATCATCCAAGGTAACTACATTTAGAGCTTATAGACATGCTATTGAACTTTAGTAATACATATAAAACAATTATGTTCTTCCACTAATGTCCTGCAGAATTACTAGAAATGTGCAAATGGTTGTTCCTTTTGATACAGTGACTGAACTTGGAAAAGTAAAAACAACTACATTAATGACTCCAATTTGATCTAAGATAGACAATTATTTTTTTATTTCACATAGGTGCTGAATATTTGATATGGGACTGAGAGGCCAGTGTTGGCCATGACAAAAGCTGTGACACAGCCCTGTCTTGTTGGCTGTGACACAGCCAGTCCTGCTCTTTGTTCCTGTCCAGAGGAACCTCATTTTCTTTCTCCATTACATTGTCTCACTAAGCTAATGTTAGCCTTTTGTCACTTCTCTCCATAGATTCAGTGCCCAGACTGGGTACTGAGTTATTCATCAAAAATATTTTGCCCAGCTTTAATGTGTTGCATGTGCACACTTAAAGGGTAAAAGAAATAAGAACGTAGGGAAAAGGCTATGATGGGAAAAAAAGGCCAATTGTAGCCACAGAGGTATCTCATCAGAATGTGGTTTCACAGACTAACTTGTTACCCTGCTTATGAGAACCAGATGTGTCCATTGCCTTATTGTGACTGTATTAAAAATCCATAACTCTGTACAGAGTTATCAGAGCAGAAGCACTGTTTTTCCTCTTCCTATGTAACAGAGAGAAGGAAGGTTGATAGCACACCATTTTACTATCCCTCTTACTGCTTATTTAGCTTATATTTTTAATTCTGAGGTTTGTATTTAATTTCCTTAATTTACTGGACAGTGGTATACATGGACAGAAATTGAGGAAACACTATCCATAAAGATTGGTTATGAAACTACATAAAAGCTGAAAATTGACATGTTCAATAAGCTTCTGTTCTGAGTCAGTATAGCAGAAAATCAAAGGTCCAATATGTTTTAAACTTTCTTTTTCTTTTCCATTTTTCCAGAAGCTCTGTATATTTGATAGCTTTGGAACACTGGTGTTTGCAGTATTTATGGGAATATGGGGTAAGTCAATTTCAACAACTGCGGTTTGTTATCTAATTTTGGCCAAGTCTCCAGCATCAACCACGAAAACAAGGATAAATTTGCAATAACTTCATGTTCTAGCACTTAGGAATTCACTGGTAGGTAGTTCCATAGAAAATACACACATTCACAGGGATTCTTTGTTAGCATTACAAGAAAACAAAAAATGGTAGACTTAAAAGTTGGTCTTCAGTATCTGTTTGGCTTGGTTCATCTTAGAGAAAAGTCTGAGGGAAGTGGTTAAGGCTGCCTCATGTTCATCCAGCAGGGGCCAACCACATGCTAAAGTATATCTGACAGAGAAACTGGGTTTTTTTCCCCAAGAGTTTTGGAGCTGCCTGTGCTATTAATAGCCGTGTGACTGTTGAAAACTAGTAATTTGTTACATGTCGCGGGAATTTTTTCCTCCATCTTTATTTAAGAAGCTGATTGCAAAAAGTGTAGTATTTACAAGCACTACATTTATCAGTGAAAATGTATCTGAAACCAGGATTGTTGCACACAGGTGATACCACTGGGCACAGTATTCAAGGGATTGGGCAAGGTTTATTTTGCTACAAAGTCTAATTTATTCATATTAGGAGCTTCATTAACTGGCTCTCATTGTACTGTCTTATCCAGTGATTACAAAAATCAGTTCAATGTTAGGTCTGTATACAGGGTACTATACAGAAAATGTAATATTTTGGATTAATACATAGACTGACAAGAATACACAATTTGCTTTCTTTGTAAAAGGCACTGTATTTCTATTTCCCTATGATGACCCAAAGTGCTTCAAAATAAAGAAATGTAAGATGAAATGTATCATTTCTAAAAGAAGTTTTCTTTCAAAACATATGCTGAAACCAAAATACCAGCAGGAAATTCACTCACTAAAAGATTATTAGAAGTTTGTTTACTAAAGTAATTTTCTGGTGTCATCTCAATAGTTAATTTGTTTGCAATTTGTTTTTTAATTAAAATTATGTTTCCTGTTTTGAAGAATGGTTCCAAGAGCAATAATTCCAAAGTTAAGCTGAATGGTTATAGTGATGACTGCAAGGTCTATTAGTGTTCTTGTAACTCCACTACATAAAGGGGTGAATCATATTACAAAAAATCAGCCAAAATTGTACTGAACACAAATGACTCATGGTCCTGGTGCAATTCCAGATGTAATTTTCATCTATAACTTTTGTAGACCTCCTGGCCCAAAACAATTAAAATAGGATTAGTCTTTTAGATATAATTTTGCATTATTAGCATCAATACACTTCTAATAATTGCAATTTTTTTTGTGTGTATTCCCTTCAAAAATCTTAAAGCACACCAGGGAATTTGGCCTCAGGAATTAGCCCTCTATACATTCATGCTCTGCCAATTCTCCCATGATTGTAAGACTAGATTGGCAAAGGTCATGAAAAAGAGGTACGTTCCACTTCACTTTCTGCCATGCCTGAATACCCTCCCTGAGAACAGTCAGTTAAACCAATAAACATTCTCCAACAGAGACATTTCTTTCTGGACTCTGGTGACACAGCTTCAGAGGCAGAATACGTGGGCCATACTGAATTGTAGTATGCAGGACACACAAAAGGGGATACCACAAATTAACAACATGAGGTGGAATTAATGCTCTGATCTCCTGATTCTGAAACATCATTTGTTTCTACTGTTAAATCAATGTTTCTTCAAAATATAAGGAAAATGTCAAATCCAGCAGCAGCTCCTTCCCTGCTCTGAAAGTCACAACTTGGCTAGTAGAAGTTTTCTTTGCATCAGGGCTGGGAAAGCTGTCCCTGTGTTATGTGCCCTTCTTTCACTCTTGGCACAGAGACTATCACCACAGGAGTCCCTGCACTTCTGGGCTCTCCAGCAGCAGCTGAATTTGCAACTGGAGCAAATCAGTGTAGCTTGTAGCTTCCTGTCATTTGGGCTGGGCAGCAGTGAAAGGTTTATGGAAGACTAATGTCCTTGCTCTGCAGGACAAAGCAGATGAGACCCTCTGGTTCGTTGCTGGGAATGGCCTTGCTGCTTCTAAGCATGAAGATTCATGAGAAGCAGAGAAGTCCTTGTTAAAGAGTCCCCTGAATAATCAGGGGAACAGGATTGCCTGGGGTTTTGCCTGTGTGTAGATGCCAAGGTCGTCTCACAGTCCTGCCCATGGAGTTTCCTGGGGTTTAAATGTTTCAGTTTGGGGTTTATCAACCGCACCTGATTTTGGACATAAACTTTAATGTTTGGAGTTGTAACTGCATGCCATTGAGGTTTCATCATTCAGGATGAGGGGCCAAACTAATAAAAAAAGGACATTTTTTATGGTCAATTACTCCCAGATAATGAGAGCAATGACGAGTGCAGTGATGGGATGCTAACTCCTCCTGGAGGCAGTGCTGCAGAGCCACAGGACTCATTTAATCTGAGGATGCACTGTCTTCAGTAATGAAGAATCCAGGTGTGCTGGGGAGCATGGTACTGACACCCATCATCCTGAACTCCTCCCAGCCTTCCCATCTGGATTTGTCATTGCCTCTGATGCCAGATCTGCCTGCATAATGTCCTGGGCCAAGGTAACGAGTTTGGCTGGATTCATGTCTAGTCAGTAGCACTTAGGCACCTGTGTACCTGGTCCCTTACTGCTTCCAGTTGTAGAAGCACGGTCCAGGCAAACTGCTGGCCCAGTCCAGAGAGTTTCTATGTTCCATGCCATATAAAAGAGCTGACATCTCTTCAGATTTGTGCCAGCAGAGGAGGAAAGTCTGTGCTAGCAGCTTTAGCTGAATCATCATTGGTTCTTGTACTCTGCAAACTAATAAATTGTCCACACAAAAATTGCAATGTGAATGAACATATGCTCTTCCCTGTGACAATTTTTGGCATACTGAGTTTTATTTTTCTAGAAGTCCTGCACTCTCCAGCATTCTGTCTTCACCTATCCAACCAACTTGCTTTCTTAAACATGCCATGATAAACTTTTTCAAAAGCAGTCTGTAATATAAAATCCAAAGTGCTCATATTCCAGCCTTGGGCAGGAAGCAAATGTATAAAAAAAGTGTATGCATTTTTTAGCACATGGTTGCAACACCATTTACCTCAGATTTTTCTTATTAAAGTACATATATCTCCAAAACCATGGTGACATAAAGGAGTAGATCCAGTTTTCACCATTGCATTAGCCAATAAGGATTTCCACTTCTGTGGAAAGCTGTATGGAAAATTGAACCACCTGTTATAGCCCAGGGGTGTCAAGCAGTGTCCCATACTCACATGGTATTGCTCATTTTGTCTATCTTTTGGATAGTTACTTTGTTTTTGGAGTTTTGGAAGCGACGACAGGCTGAACTGGAGTACGAATGGGACACAGTTGAGTACTTAGAGCAAGAAGAACAAGTTCGCCCGGAATACGAAGCTCGGTGCACTCATGTAGTAATAAATGAAATCACACAGGTAAGGAATATTTAGATAACTGGTGGTGGTGACTGCAATAGACATGTTGTGAGAGGAGACTATGGAAATGGTGAATCTGAACTCGAACTCTATAAATCAGCAGTGCTTCAAGTTGATAATCTGGCCTGAAAATAGTGATCTTATAAAACACAGATGCAGGGGGAGGGAATTTATACCTAACTGTAAGCACCTGAAAGTAGTTATCTGAGGAGCTTGTGCTGCTGAGGTTCCCATATCATAAATAAACAGAAGTAAGCATCATCCCCAGCTTGGAAGACTAAGTCTACTTTATTAAAACCCCCAAGAAATGATTCAGTGTTGCTGCCAGAGGC